CCTTTGAGCCACAGGCGCCACCCCAGTATTTCACCTCAAGTTTTAAAAAGGTTTATGTTCATGGGAACAAAAAAACCAAAAAACAAACAGGAAATGGGAAAGGCAGCCACTGCAGGCCTCAGGCCCCAACTGAGGGAGAAGGGCTGACTGCAGTCTGAGCCCTGAACCTCCCCACACGGGGCCCCTTCTCACCCACCTCTGCTTTCTGCCACCCCAACCCCAGGCTCTGGAGATCCAACCTGCTAGAGCTCCAACACCAGAGTCCTGCTCAACAGAGCCAGAGATGCACTCTGACCCCTCCTGCACGTTTCCACAGGGCTGGGTTACAGGTGAGGCAATGACTCCTTAGTCCCGAATGGCAGCTCTTGAGGATAGGCCCAGGAGGTGGACCGCCCACTATGCGCAACAACCAGGGCCCTGTGTCTCCACGGGAAGACTTGCTCTCCCTCCCAAACCACCCCTCAAGACTCTGGTACCGCCGTACAGAGAAGCGCTTTTGAGATTCAGTTACCAGCTTACTGTGCAAGTGGAGCCTATGTGGAGGGACCCCTAGATCTCTGCAGTGCCCTGTGTAGCTTCTGAAAGACCCTTGGTAGTCTTGGAGGGCAGCCAGGCCTGGCAAGTCCTGAGCAGAGATGTCTGGGGCCCTGTCTCCTTGCTGAGGGACCCTGAGGGAGAGCTGGGGCTCTCTGTACTCACCAGGGACCGCTTGGCTTCAGGCAGGAACTGTCCAAACTCTGATAGCAGGTCCTCCTGGCCCCGGAAGAGGTTGGCCACCTCGGTGAACACCTCCTCTTCAGACATGCCCCGGAACGGCCGGCCCTTTGTGTTCAGCTGCTCCTTCTGCCAGTTTTGGGCAAAGAGGAAACTGGGCGTTTGGCAAAGAAGGAGGCACCTTGGGCTGGGACATTGAGGCAGCCCACCATGGAGATAAAGAAATGACTTTTGGAACAGAGGCTGCTGGTGGAGCCCACGACATCCTATGTGCTTGCTTCTGGATCCTGCTGCCTGGCACAGCCCAAGTCGTGGCCACTGATGGGGCCTGTGCCAGGAGTGCAGTGGGGACAAAAGGAAGGGCACAGAGCAGTGCCATGAACAAAGGTAATGGGGCAGGTAAGAGGCCAGCTGGAATCAAGGGCAGGCCAAGGGAAGTGCAAGGTCACGGGTGAACTCTAGGCCCTCCCAAGGGCAAGGGGAAACACAGGAGCTAGCGCTGGGCCCTGAAGAGGAGAAACAGGGTACAGAGCAAAGGGAAGGGACTTCCAGGCTCAGGGACATCCTAGCCCAGAGTCACTAAGACCCATGGGAAATGGCCTGATCCAGAGATTAAAGCAATAAGAGGCCCAAAGGAGAACCAGGTTGGAGAGCAGGAACTGGCCAAGAGAACTGAAGGTGGCTGTTAGGAATATATCCTTATCAACTTTAAATGCAAGATTATACATCACAGTGTAAGAGGCAGTGGTGCTGGGGCCCTGCCAGAATGCACAGCATGGCTTTCAATATTCCTACTCCACAGCAACAGACTAGAATGAGTCACCACTGGTAGTCCCTCCCCATCGGGCCAGCTTGTAGCCTTTGGGAAGGGAAGCAAATTTTAAATCCCGGCCTCGTACCTCCTATAAACAGGAGGAAAAAAAAAAAACACCCATCAGTTCAAAACGTTACTGATACACTTCAAAACCACATTAAAAAAACGAGCAAATGCCATTTAGTTCAGAGAGTAAGTAGAAACAACTTGTACACAGTTTTAAAACAATGACCAAATTTACTGATACTTAAAGAAAAGCAATTTACAACAGTGATACAGACATCTTTTGCTCATCAGACTGACAGATGGAAAGGGACGGGGGCTTTTGATGAGTATGTGGCAACAGGTCCTCTCAAACACAGGTGGCAGAAAGGAAAATTGGTGCAGCCTTTTAGAGGACGATTTACCGATCTCTGTTAATGAGTGGCACATCCTCAACTTAGGAACACACTTTCTGGAAATTTTTCCTGCAAAGACAGTTTTCCTTGAACGCTTGTTTTGAACACACAAATCTGTTTGAACGTGATACACGTACTAGGGAACAATAAGAGCATGATGCGAATTCTGCGTTTGTTTAAGCACTATTTTATCCAGGAGAAACATGGGGTGAATGCAGAAAACCGCACCCGGCAGACCCAAGCCATGTGAGTACACAAAATCACATCTGCCTGCACTCCCACCCACATCTACTAGCTCCAGCAGTGCCCCCCAGTGCTAGGAGCCACCCTTGTCCTTATCTGGGGTTACAACGTCCCTTCTAATTTCAGACAACCTCCTCCCAGCCTTTCACAGTAACTTACAGGCTTCTGCCTACCCATGCCCACATCCACAAGAGAACCTTGGTTCTTCTCCAAGATCAATACAGCAGTCACTGTAGTACTCATTTAATTCTTAGGTACTTAACATGCATACAATAGCACTACTATTTTGAGCAGGTATCTATATATTTTTTAGGTATCCTGGGGAAGTTGCTAAGTATTGTTCTCTCACCTGGTTTCCCACAGCCCTACAGTTTGACAACTGTGCAGAATGAGGTCATGTTTAGGGGCACAGCTGTGTTAGGGCAGGACTGTGTTCATATAAGCACACACGGGACATATTTAATGGGTGGCAGTTGCCCAGGGTTGACTTGAAGCAGGCTGTGTGCTAGAATCAGTTGCCTCATTTAACTTCACTGAACCTGGGAGGTGATCAGTACCACCAGCTTCAGGGTCATTTTATGGATCATCAAGGATCAGGGAGGTGAAGAAAAGGGCTCCAGTGGAATAGATGGCAGCGGGAAGGTCTGCAGGGAGACCCCACAGAGATGGAAAAATATAGTTATAAATCAAGAGTCCTCAAACTTTTTAAACAGGGGGCCAGTTCACTGTCCCTCAGATTGTTAGAGGGCCAGACTGTGGGCCCCGGGACAAGTTGGCTGCTAAGCAGGACAGGCAGCGGCGGCAAAAACATCTGGTGGGCTGGATAAATGTCCTAGGTGGGCCGCAGTTTAAGGACACCTGTATAAATGATCAAACGTACCTTAGAGGTACTTGGTTTGATTCTAATGGTGTCTTAGAAAACTCTAAACCAATGTTCTAAAATCAGGATAATTCAACAATTCAGATTTCCTGCTTCTCCTCAAGAAATGGCACCAATTAAGTTTCATAGAGAAGAAGTGATTGGTGTTTTGAGCTGAAACACATGAAGTATTAAGCAAGGAGGCAGAAAGCCCAGATCAAATCCTGGTTTACTCACTAATAAGCCATGAGACCTTTAGCAGATTTGTTAATAACCACACAGTCCTGCCTCACCTTCACCAAAGTATCCTGGAGATGCTCAAATAGACAAAGAAGGTGAAAGTGCCTGAAAACTTAATATACTATACAAAAATGAGTTGTCTTATTTCCAAATAATGGCGCAGATGGCGCCACTCTGAATAAATAACCAGTTGAGAACATGGCATTTCCATCCTCAGGATGTCTACCTGGTAAGTAGTACATGGACACTTTAGGCTTTAGCTTTGAGGATTGTTTACAGTATTATTCTGGGCAAAGTCTTTTTTTTTAAAAGTATTTTAAAATCACCTTTGCATTTGTGTTTGAGATTGGAGTTGCCAAGGGGCTTGCTGAAAATACAGATGCCAGGCAGGCCCTGAGGAAAGGCAGCCCCATGTGCAGGCCCAAGCCACCTGCATTTTCAACCAACTAGTAGCAGTTCGGATTAGGGGACACTGTGCTGTCCCATTCCCTACACTTTCTTTTAAACAATTCATTAAACTAATATGAAATTTGCACCATGCTCAGATTGTTGCCTAGTATATGTAGTGTGCTCAGATTTATGTGTTCAAAACGAGCACTCCAGCAGAACTGTCCATGGCAGCCCATCGCTGTGACTCTGGTAAAGTAAGTCTCTACCTTCCCCAGTCTTCTCCCCCGGAACAGAGCCACTGCACAGCTCTGATGATCCTTCTGGCCCTACGTGGGATGACCCCATGAAGCCTGGGAGGGATCCACACTACATAATCACAAGCATCATTCCTCCACCCACACCAAATGTTCACAACTGCCACTAAGAAACAATTTAAAGGCTATACCGGCACCCCAAAGATGTCAGGTGCTGAGGCTAACAGGGCTTACATGTGATACCCACACTGTGGACTGCAAACAGTCCACCAAAGTGGCCTTGCTGACTGTGCATGAGGACCAAATGCCACTTATCTGATCTCAAACATTGATGCTAAAAAGAATCCTACTTCTTTACCTCAAACTCCTGTGTTCAAGTGATTCTCCTGCCTCAGCCTCCAGAGTGGCTGGGACTACAGGTACATACCAGCATGCCTGGTTATTTAAAAAATTTTTTTTGTAGAGATGGGTGGGGGGTGTCTTGCTATGCTGCCCAGGCTAATCTCCAACTCCTGGGCTCAAACAATCCTTTCACCTCAATATCCCAAAGTGCTAGGATTATAGGCAGGAGCCACTGTATCTGCCCAGATTTTGCTTTAAAAAGTCAGTCCTGCTGCTTAAAAAAAAAAAAAAAAAAAAAGCATAGACCAGGTGCAAAGGCTAGTACTTTTTAAATTCCCCTAATGCATACTAGTAGTTCTTAGGTGCAGAGGTACATCAAAGAACAAGTTAAAATTAAAACTAAAACAAGTTGGGTGCAGTGGCTCATGCCTGTAATCCTAGCACTTTGGGAGGCCGAGGTGGGTATACTGCTTAAGCTCCCAAGTTCGAGACCAGTCTGAGCAAGCACAAGACCCCATCTGTAAAAAATAGCTAGGCATTGGGCAGCACCTGTGGCTCAAGGAGTAGGGCGCTGGCCCCATGTACCAGAGGTGGTAGGTTCAAACCCAGCCCTAGCCAAAAAAAGCGAAGAAAAAAAAAATAGCCAAGTGTTGTGGCGGGCGCCTGTAGTCCCAGCTACTTGGGAGGCTGAGGCAAGAAGACTGCTTGAGCCCAAGAGTTTGAGGTTGCTGTGAACTGTGACACCACAGCACTCTACCGAGGGCAACAAAGTGAGACTCTCAAAGAAAACAAAAGGAAGGAAAGAAATTCTGGCACATGCTACGACACAGATGAACCCAGAAGACATTCTGCTAAGTAAAATAACATAAAAGGACAAATCCTATATGATTCCATCTATGAGAAGTCCCTAAAGTTCTTATATTCACAGACATAGAAAGCAGAATGGTGAATGCTAAGGTTGGAAGGAGGGAGGATGGGGAGAGAGTGTTCAATGGAGACTGAGTTTCAGTTTTACAAGGTGAAGAGTTCTGGAGATGCCACTGAACTGTACACTTAAAAATGGTTAAAATGTTAAATTTTATGTATATTTCACTAGAGAAAAAAAATGCCAAAAACCTCCAAAATACCACTAATCAGAATTTTATAGAAGTTCATGAATTCAGACAAAAACAAAAAATCTGAATATCTTCCATGCTCAATACTGGATGATGCCACAGAAACTCACCAAGAAATATGACCTGTGTTCTCTTACCTGATATGTGTGCAGTATCTCCAAAAATGACCTATAGATTTCCGGGTGGTCTAGGAATCGGGTCTTAATCTTATTCACGTAGCTGATGGCGTTGTTGAATTCCACGGAATCTGATTCCAAGGGCACCTGGGGTTTGTCTTCCTTATATGGCACCTGTTGCTTAAAGTCCTCCGCACAGTCACCATGGTTGTGTGAATTTTCCTGACAACAATGTGACAAAGACTTATTGTGGGGGTGGAGAGGGCACAACATGCCAGGAACAGATTGTAAAAAACACCAGGCCCAGCCACTGTCTGCAGAAGAGCAGACAGAATCCAGCATGAAGCCAAGAGCCAAGTTTTATTAGATGCAGAGAAAGGTTATTTCAGGGGGCCCAGAGGGAGGGGACAGGTGGGGCAAGGCACACCCAGCACATGTCAACAGGTCCTCCCTTCGTGTCCCAGCCTATGCAAGTTCTTAAGTCTCATTAACTGACCTCCACTTGATCCTTCCCAATCTATACCAAGAACATATGAGTTTAATGAGCATTTTACATTTTGAAAAATGAGCATTTGGGAGAAATTTACAAAAGTAGATGTTTAATCCTTGACAGAGCCAAATATGTAAAAGTAGACTCCCCACACCTTCTGTGATCCCATTTCAGCAAGACTATTTCCAGGTGGGAAATCAACCATCTGCTGTTAGCAGTGATGAGAAAGTCAGGATTTTATACAAATGAGGCCTTGGCTGGGTGCAGCGGCTCACACCTAATCCTAACATTCTGGGAGCCAAGGTGGGAGAATTGCCCAAGCTCAAGAGTTCAAGACTAGTTTGAGCAAGAGTGAGATCCTGTCTCTACTAAAAATAGGAAAATTAGCCAGGCGTTGTGGTGGGCACCTGTGGTCTCAGCTACTTAGGCAGCTGAGGCAGAAGGATCACTTGAACCGAAGACTCTGAGGTTGCTCTGAGCTAGGCTGACATTAAGGCACTTGAGCCTGGGCAACAGAGTAAGACTGTCTCAAAAAAAGAAAGTGAGAAAGGGAAAAAAAGGGGGGCAAGGAGAAATGGAGCCCTGGAGGTTAGAGGGGACCCACCACTAGGCAGCTGGGGATTTCAGAGATTCCCAAGAAAGGGGACTGTCTTTCTTTCCCTTTTTTTTTTTTTTTTTTTTTGAGACAGAGTCTCACTATGTCACCCTCGGTAGAGTGCCGTAGCGTCACAGCTCACAGCAACCTCAAATTCTTGGGCTTAAGCGATTCTCTTGCCTCAGCCTCCCAAGTAGCCGGGACTACTGGCACCCGCCACAATGCCTGATTATTTTTTGGTTGTAGTTGTCATTGTTTGGCAGGCCTGCGCTGGGTTCAAACCCACCAGCTCCAGGGTATATGGCTGGCAGCCTTGCCCCTGAGCTACAGGTGCTGAGCCAAGAAATGGGACTTTCACTAACTCCCAGAGCAATCAGAACAAGGTACAACAGTCACGTGAGAAAAAAGAGCCTTGCCCTGACCACCCACCAAGAATACCCTCTATTTGTGTACTTTTCTACCAACATGTAAAATGTACACTGAATCCTAATTCGTGAGGGACAGGACCACCCCCCTGGAGGAAGTGATGCTCTATTTCTAAACTGGAATTATGCTTCATGTTTCCAGCACACAGACAGAGGCAGGTTCTTGAGCAGGTCAGGGTCACTCCAGCTCAGCTACAGGTCTTTGCCGCTTCTCAGTGAAGCTTCCAGAACCATCTTGCACCAAAGTAAAATGATCCTGTGTCTCGGCACTCCTACATTTTTTTCCATGGCACTTGTCACCTCCCCACATGTAATGTATTTGACTCATTTTATTATCTGTCCATCCTTACTAGATGGCAAATTTCATGGGGCAGGGGTTTTATTTTGTCCAGTGCGGGCAGGTTTTGTCCATTGCTTGGGATCATTAGGTGACAGATGGAAAAACAAATGGCTTTCTCTACTGTTTCTGTTGCCCGACCCTGGCCCCGGAAGAATCCACCAAGATGGGGAAGGCCAGACACACTGCTGCCCACAACTGCAGAACTGTCACCACAATAGAAATCTCTGCCAGGCTGCACCAAGACCATGCTGATCAGTGTTTCATGTGCTATCATGTGGGTGGGTGTTATCAGTCGTAACAAAGTCCCCAAAACTGAGTGGCTTATACAACAGAAATTAATTTTTCAAATAGTTCTGGAGGCTAAGAGTCCAAGATCAAGTTCTGAGGCCTTTCTCCTTGGCTTACAGATGGCCACCTTCTTGCTGTGTCCTTACACGGTCATCTTTCTGTGCAAGTGCACCCCTGGTGTGTGTCCCAATCTCCTCTTCTTGTAAGGACTCTAGTCAGAGTGGACTAGGGCCCAGCCCAAGGGCCTCATTTACCTTAATGACCTCCTTAAAGACTCTACCTCCAAATATAGTCACACTCTGAGGTGGGGGGGGGGTGTCACAGCTTCAAAACATGAACTTTGACAGGAAACACAGAAAAGTAGGTACAGAGACAACTCTAGAAAGTCTGAGCCAAGGCACGCAGACTCACAATACCCCGAGCAGCCACAATTCTAAACACCCTTTCTCCTCTAAGGCTCTCTGAGGATGCTCTTGCCCATCTGCTCAAGCTACAGGAGTAGGTGTTTGTGTTCCTTCATGGTGCACAGGTTTGACAGCAGGAGCCAGCTGGGAGTGTGGAAGGGAAGTGACCTTGAAATTAAGGGTTTCTTCAGAGGCCATGGACCCACTGCAAGCTCCTTGCCACTCCAAGGAGGCATTTTCAAGCCCCAAAAGGCCGCCTCAGATGCCCTGAACTTGGAAAAAAGGGCCAGATAGTGACTGTACAGTTGCTGTGGAAAAATCTTGTGTCAATAAATTTAACACAATTACCATAGGATCCAATAATTCCACTCCTGGGTATAAAACCAAAAGGATGAAACAGGTGCTCAAATACATCTTTCTACATGAATGTTTACAGCAGCACTATTCACCATTAGCCAAAAAGGTAGAAACAACCCAAACATCCATCAGTAGGTGAGTGAACAAATAGAATGTGGTCCATTTACACAAAGCAGTATTAGTCACAAAAGGAATGAAGCTCTGATCCATGCTACAACGTGGATGGCCCCCAAAACCATGATGCTGAGTGCAAGAAGCCAGACACAAAAGGCCACACGGAATGTGACTGCACAGACATGAAACGTCCACAGCAGGCAAATCCTCAGAAACAGAAAGCAGACTGGTGGCTGCCAGGGACTGGGGGGAGGGGGAGAATAAGGAGGAATAAGATCTCATTCTAGGATGATGGAAATGTTCCGGAATTAATGGTGATGGTTGCACAATATTGTGAATATACTAAAAACCAGTCTAAAACTAGGATGTTGAATTCTACATTATATGACTATTATCATATTTTTTTTTAAAAAAACCATTCAAATGTAATCTTTTCTTTTCCTTTTTTGAGAAAGAGTCTCGCTATGTCACCCCTGACAGAGTGCTATGGTATCACAGCTCATAGCAACCTCAAACACCTGGGCTTAAGTGATTTTCTTGCCTCAGCCTCCCAAGTAGCTGGGACCACAGGCGCCCACCACAACATCCAACCATATTTTTGCTATAGTTGTCATTGTTTAGCTGGCCCAGGTCAGCTTCGAATCCACCACCCTCGGGGTATGTGGCTGGCGCTGTAACCACTGTGCTACGGGAGTCAAGCCACGTAATCCTTTAAAAATGTAAAAATCATGGCTCTGTGCCTAAGCTCAGTGAGTAGGGTGCCAGCCACATACACCAAGGCTGGAGAGTTTGAGCCCAGTCCAGGCCAACTAAACAACAATAACTGCAACCAAAAAGTAGCCACGAATTATAGCGGGCACCTGTAGTCCCAGCTACTTGGGAGGCTAAGGCAAGAAAATCGCTTAAGCCCAGGCGTTTGAGGTTGCAGTAAGCTGTGACGCCACTGCACTCTACCCAGGCCTAGATAGTGAGACTTTGTCTTAAACAAACAAACAAACAAACAAACAAACCACCAACCATACAAAGCCAACTGGCTTTGGCCCATGGGCCACCACAATTTGCCCACCTGCTCTATAAATTCCAGGAACAAGCCTGTTGTTGCTTTCTTGACCTGCACAGCCTCCCTCCTGTGCTGCTGTGTGGCCATGTCCAGCAGTTAAAAATTCCCTCCACACCATGGTGAGGATGCCTCCACTTGGGCATCCACATACACCTCCACCTAGATACTGAAGAGAGGCCTTGAACAGCACCTTACACACAGCACTGCCTTGTTCACCTCAGGCACCCTGGAAACCCTACTCTCAGCTTCTCACTGATCTCCCACCCCCATCACTGCCCAGATCACCCAGCACCCAACCCTGGCCTCCCAGGGATCTCCTCTGATGCCTCAGCCATTACAGCATAGCAGCAGAGTTGCAAGCCAGAACCCTCCACTAGTTCCCAAGTCCTTGGCTCTCTCCTCCAACCTTCTCTCCTCCATTTACCAGTCCCACTGGCCTCTAGCTATTCCTTAAGCATACCCATCATCTCCCATTCCAGGCCTTACACCCAATTCCAGACCCAGGCCCTGCCCAGGGCACCTCTCCATACCCTTGCCTGGTCTGCTCCATCTTCCCTCCACCCTGGCCCTGCTGTCTATGGGCCACAGCACTAAAACCCTTTACACAGTCAGCATCTGCACATGGGTTCCTCATCTGGGTCCCCACTTCAACAGTACAGGCACCCTAAGAACTGGTTCTCTGAATAAACCCAGGGCCTACCTTCTAAAGATGCCGCCTACTCCATAAGTAAATAAGACACAAACATGAGAGTCAATTTGGAACTGGCTGGGCCTCCCCCAGAGAATAGCACAGTGTGTCAAGGGTTGGAGGTGCCTCCCAGTTCATGATATAAGTTGCACCTACAGAGGCCACTTATATCATGAACTGCACCTTAAGGGCTTCTCTCTGCCTCTATGCGGGCCACCTCTTGTGTCCCAGGAGGCAGCTCTGCCCTGAACAGGACCTGAGAACTGAGAAAAGCTACTTTCCCACTGATATCCAATTTCTGGGCCCTGCTGTGCTGCTCCCTGGCAATGTTCTAGAAGGTAGACACAGTCAAAAACAAGACTCTGGCTCAGCACCTGTGGCTCAAGTGGCTAAAGTGCCAGCCACATACACCTAAGGTGGCGGGTTCGAATCCAGCCCGGCCCGCCAAAACAACGATAGCTGCAAAAAAATAGCCGGGCATTGTGGCGGGCACCTGTGGTCCCAGCTACTTGGGAGGCTGAGGTAGGAGACTCACTTGATCCCAGAAGTTGGAGGTTGCTGTGAGCTGTGATACCATAGCACTCTACCCAAGGGGTATAGCTTGAGGCACTGCCTTAAAAAAAAAACAAAAAAACCCCCAAGACTTCACCTTAAGGAATCACTGTCCGTGAGGGAAGGAAATAATGATTTTTAACTTCTCTTTCTAGGTATTTTGCTATCTCTTAACCCAGGCAGTGTAAGAATAACAGGGGCTCTCTGTGCAGGTGCCGTTATGACCCAAACTACCAAATCTGAAAGGACAGTGACTCAGGAAGTCCTAGCAAGAGGATGTTCTTTTCTCCAAGCTCCCTGGCTCTCTCCTGTGCACACACGTTCTGACATGTCTGTCTTCCCCTTTTTACTTGTACTCTCAACTGGGGGGATTCCCTGGCAACACTGGGAGACACTTTTGTTGTGCTACTGGCATTTGGTGGGCCAGGGATGCTGTTTGACACCTGCAGTGCAGTATACAGGATAGCTCCCTCCCCCAAATGGGGGAGAGACCCTCTGCATCAAAGGCTGGGCCTCTTCTTTAGACCTTCCTCAGCACCTAAGAACCTCTCCTTTGTTTGTAGTTGGCAGGCTTCAGGTGAAATGAAAAATAGAGGGTAAAAAAGGGTTTTAAAACTGTACTTTATGGTTGTCTACTTATGCTGCAAATAAAAAGCAAAAAGAGGGAGAAAAAAGAAAAAAAAACCTATACTTTAAAACTGTGCTTTCCGCTTCCTAGGGGTTTTGCAGAAGGCAGTCCCCAACCCTGGGCTTCAAACTGGTACCAGCCATGGCCTGATAGGAACGGGGCTGCATAGCACCACTGCCTGAGCTCCACCTCCTGTGCCATTCCTCTCCTCCTAAGCCCCATGAAAAAATTGTCTTCCATGAAATGGGTCCCTGGTGCCTAAAGGTTCCATTCCAGTCCATGGCCTGTTAGGAACAGAGCTGCAGGGCAGGTGAGCAACCACGAATCTTCATCTGTATTCACTGCCACTCTCCATCACTGCCATCACTGCCTGAGCTCTGCCTCCTGTCCCAATCCCCACACCGCCACCCTCATCTGTGGAAAAATTGTTATCCATGAAATTGGTCCCTGGTGCGAAAAATGTTGGGGAGCACTGCTTTACAACAGTGACGCCAGAAAGACCATTAAGGAAAGAAAATCACCAGGGCATTTGTGTGTGAGGAGCCCTCTGAGGTTTTTAGGCTACTATGCTCTCTCAAAAAACCCTAGGAAGCTGAAAGTAGAACTTGTATCTCATGTGTGCCTGTCCTAAAGCCACACAAACAGCAGCCCAGACTGCGGAGAAGAGAGGGCTGGAAGCCTGACAACCATCAATACTAAGGGAAAGTGAATGGCCTCACTGGTGGCCTGAAGGCTATGAACCTCCTCCACTGTGGGAGGCAGCCCCAGAAATGGCTGCTTTGGGGCTAGATCAAAACTATGAAGCCCTGTTGAGTAGCTATTAAATGAAAGTTCTTGTCAAGCCTTTCTCCAAGTCACTGTCACCTAAACCACCTAGAGAGAAACAAGATTGTCAGCAATACACTGTGCTAGGGAACAGCAGGGACCCTGTGGCTATTTAAAGGAAGAGCCAACTCCAAACACAACCACAGTGTGGTTCCTGTCAAGATCCAGCCCTGAAAGTCGAGTTCCTCCCATGGTCAGGGATTGCTGAAAGGCAATTTCCACATGCAGAGGGCACAATTTACACCTTCTGACTCCAGCTCTTTCTCAGTGAGTGATGGTAACACGCCCAGCGTTTATACACAGCTTTTACACAGTGTTCCAAGTCTACAAAGTGCTCTGGCAGATGCTGCTTGCTGTTGCAAATGAACTTGGTCCCCCCCCCCCACCATAGCTATGAGTGTTCCAGAGATTAATTTTTTTTTTTTAATTTTGCTTTCAATTTTAGCTGGCTTTCACTCATCTTAGTTTGAAGTTTTGGGTTTTTTTCTCTTTTCTTCCTTTAGCGATTCTCTTGCCCTTTGCCTCCCTTTGCCTGTAGCTGGGACTACAGGTGCCTGCCACAACGCTGGCTTTTTTTGGGCAGAGACGGGGTCTCACTGGCTCACTCCGGCTCAGGATGGTCTCAAACCTCTGAGCTCAGGAAATCCACCCGCCTTGGTCTCCCACAGTGCTAAGACTACAGGTGTGAGCCACCACACCCAGCCACCAGAGATTAATTTTGCTAAGGTTTTTATGGTTTGGGGGCAAAAGGCCTACATCTGGACCCTGGAGCTCCATTTGCAAATGTGAAATGGAAGCTCTGAAATTCTACAGCCAAATGCTTCCAAGTTTCCTTTTAAAACTGAGATGGCTTTAATGAGACAACATGCTGATGGCATAGCTTATCTTACACAGAGAAAAAACCAGAATTTTCACACAAGCCACTTTCAGGGACCAGACACTGCCATATTACCTTTTGCTGTTCTCTTTCCAAATCATGACTCCCTAATTCAGCATTTTCAACATTTTTTATCTCATGGTACACTTCAACTTACAAAGTTTTACAGCATACTTAAATTATGTTGATCAAAAAAAAAAA